TCCAGAGTCTTCTCCAGCGCCACCTGCATGTCCGGTAGCCTCCTCCTCGGCCCTGAGATCACCAACTGGGTGTCGTCGGCGTATCTTGCCATTCGTATGAGGAAGCCGTCCACTTCTGTCGGGACATAGCATGCGGCGCTGATGGAGGCGATGTTGTATAACATCGGTCCCATACATGTCTTACATACATGCGCGGTCTTAAAAGTACCGCGCAAAGTGACGGTGGATTCATCAAGCCTGACCGATGAAGGACTGCCAAATTTGAGTCACCGAAGCAATGGACATCCTCGTCCATTCCCCAGCTCCATTGGTTCGGTGACTTTCAAATTATAGCAGGCCCTTCCTCGGTCAGGCTTGATGGATCCACCGTCACTTTGCGCGGTACTTTTAAGACAGACTGTACATGCCATCGTGATCGACGCTTGACATTTTCACACCGAACGATGGTTTTCTGCCGTATTTTCTGATTTTTGCACAACTCTTTAGAAATTCTGAAAAAGTAAGATATCAAGCTCGCATATTTACGTCTGGACAACGAGTTGCGTTGGAGAGGCCGGAAATAGTGGCGATTTCAGGACCGCAAGAATGGACCGTCATTGGAATGATTCTTTTTTAAACCGTGGACTGTTTTCGACCGGAATTCGATAGTTACTACAAAATATTTTGTAATTACGTTTCCACCAAGAATGAATGCCATCAGCGCTAAATTTTTACTTCTATTGCATTTTGTCAAGAAGCATATAGTGCTGTTTTATTGCAGTTTTAGCGCGTTTGTTACAAAATATGAAGCGAATAAGCGTCAGTGTAATTCATCAGTGCCAGAAGTGAACTTGAGGGGAGGCTATTTATATGCTAATTGCTCTTGTCCATCCACTAAAATTTATTAAATATTTTGCTTTGTGTATTCCAAAAGGAGAGGGAACTATTTCATTTGTGCCTTCATGTCAGAATTAAAGGTGGATCATTAAATTTTCAACGCAGTTTACAAACAAGCATTTGGTCTTTCTCGTATATCAATATAAGCAGTGGCTAAGAAAAGGTTGATCAATCCTGAAGTTCAGTCATCGTACCTCAACTTGGCAGCAAGATCCCCCAAGGACAGAGGATATATTGTATACATGTCCTGTAAATCAAAACAAACAAGCATTTGGTCTTTCTCGTATACAGGCAGTGGCTAAGAAAAGGTTGATCAATCCTGAAGTTAAGTCATCGTACCTCAACTTGGCAGCAAGATCCCCCAAGGACAGAGGATATATTGTATACCTGTCCTGTAAATCAAAACATTTTTGTGCCTGCAAAGGCTTAAGTTATCTGTGGTGTGTTCGGAGTTAGGCCATATGGCCGTTTTTGTTGTATGTTTATGTGGAGATTGAATATAACTGTGACCCTGTGCTTGTTTGTATACTTACTATGGTCAAACAGGGAAGAGCACATTCACATAACATACTCACCTAGCACCTAACTCATAGCTGTACCCTGCAGGATCTGTACTTGTTCATGTCTCGAGCATTAACAAAGCACTAAAGTAGCTTAGTAGGTAATCATTTCCCACATTTTCTGAGCATCTAACATGACATACAGCAGTGCAGAGCAGCTTCAGAGAAGAAACACTTTAAATGCACAGACTCACACCATGACCAGCCACCCAATGAGCCAGTTCCTCAGTTGACTGTTTCCCTGGATGCAGCTTGGCAATGTGAGCTAACTTTTGGCAAGTTGAAGGTTAGCAGGTAAGATTGTGTTAGGGTGAGTACCTACCTATAACTGGGTGCTACTGCTATGTAGGTCTTGGGTAGGCTGCAAATATGTGTGCTGATTGAGGTTAGGTCAGCTGTCAGGTTAGTCAGGACCAGGAGTATGCTCATTGCCCAGGTCACATTTTTATGGACACTTGGCAAATTAAAAAACTAACAATCTAATCTAAGCTAACCTGACTAAACATACACAACTTCTGACTATAGGAACTAAGCACCTACCTACTTGTGCCTATACATCTCATACCATGTCAAAGTAGAGTTCCTTGGTGGAAGATTACCCTCAGTACTTTTTATCCCAGCCCTGTGAAGAAAACTAATACTTCTAAGCTCTGAGTCACTGCTGGCCATCCACAGGAAGAAACGCTGAGACTGAGAGCTTTGCCATTGTATATTGGACCAATAATCACTATCACGAATGACTATGAACACATTATATGATCACATTGTTGCATGGATTGTCACATTGACAATTCTACTACAATCCTTTTTTCAAGAAATACAGTGATGATTAACATCAAAATCAACATAAAGTGGATTTAGTGATCTAAGCTTTCTCCTCCAGTAGCAATGGAATGATCGCATGTTTCCTTTGCCAGACACTGAGTACCTGATGCACATTACAATCATCTGCATAGCATGAAGCATCTAAGCTGCCCGAGTCCATTCATTCTAGATTTTTAACTTGAAAGTTAGCACTTATTTATCTTGCTGTTGTAAGTTATCATTCAATATCCATACCAATACATCAATATGCGCTCATCAGTCAACATTTTCTGGCATGATCCTGCTCAGCGTGCTCTTCAGTAGGTATTGCTCCAAGGTCTGCAATATTATAGCTTGTTTTTGGCCAATAAGCTCTTTTAATGTTACTTTTTCTTGCTGATATATGAGCCCGATCACCAAAATTTATCAACCAAAATTTCATAACTTGTTCAACTTGATATTGATATTGCTCAGGAGTCAGGACCTCTGTCAGCCTCCTGGATACTTCGGATTGTTTTCAGTCAACATGCTTCTTAAATATGATATAAGTCAATATTCAAAACATCCAACAAAACGACGTACAAGAGTAAGAAAACCACCAGATAAACTAAAAAATGGCCTTGGAACAGAGCGAAGTGGTGCTCCATTTGTTTGTTTACAATGACTGTAGTGCTGATGTATTTTTAGGACTCTGAACGTCGGCTTATAAAAAAATGAAACGTTTTTACAAAAGTTGTAAGGCAAGTAATATTTATCTGAAAGAACTAAAATATTCAAAAGCCAAACACTATGACATACATGAATCGGAACGAAAAAGTAACCCAAAAATCCAGCCTAATCTCCGGCTCCTAAAACTGCAACAAAATCAGCACTTTTCCCCGCAACTCGTTGTCCAGACGTAAATATGCATCAAGCTCAAGCATGCTTGACGATTTTTATGCACTGCGTCTTTCACCTAAAAAGCCGGCATGCAGCATAACCGTTCACAGTTAAACACGCACAGTATGTAGCATATTTCAAGCTGTGTTCTATTTTTTGTTTTTTGTCGGTCTCCGGTCCCTGGTTTCGTGATCCGCTGTTCGGGCCGAACACCGTGTTGTCGTTCTGGGGATTAGTCGTGATGGCCTGTATGGATCTGAAAGATCGATGTCAACTCGCTCGGATGGGTATCATTTCATTCATTCTTAGTTCGGAGCTCCAATTCACCCTGGTGGTGTATATTTTAACGGGTGGTTATTAAAGTTCCTTCTAGCTAATTAAACCTTTGTTATATTAGCAGGGCGTACAAACTTTTTTCTCAAGAGAGTTCTGCACTAGACCATTATGAGCGCTGCTGTGAAAGAGTACGTCTATTTAAGTTTTGACCAAATATACAGATTTCTGCGGAGACCTGAATGGCTTACACAATTGGGCTGCCTCTGGATTATAGTGACTTAAGTCAGAACGTGAATGGTGACGTAAAATTTCGCCCAGCCGCATAGACTGATCGTGCTGTTTACCAACCACTGAATCCTCGTAATGTGATTGTGTTGGCTAAACAGAACTAATTTCCTCTCCGTCAGATGTCCTTTTAAATTCTTGCAATCTCATCAGTTCTGTTCACCGGATTGACTATCTTTTTCGCCGAGATTGCATCGGCCTTCACTGGTGCTATAATTTGATTGATTCTCGAGTCCTGCTGTCTGCAGCGACCTAATGGGGCACTAATTGGCCTTATTGGAGGTCTTCGGAGTTGGCTGTGCGTGACCGTTCGGCTGTTTACCAGCACGCCCGGCCGACCGGCGCGCCGTGCGACGGCCGAAGGACTCGGCCGACCGTTTGGAAACGATGCCTTTGTATTTGTCCCCGGAGTGGCGGCGCCTCGAGCGGGCCGTAAATATCCGCTCGGAGCGGGCCTTCGGGCGGCCGTCTGTCAGGGGCCCGAGAGGCGCCGCCGCCGGCGCCGCGCCGGTGTTTGGCGCCCAGAGTCGCGCCGCTGACTGAGCAGGGCCCCGGCCGGGACGCGAGTTGGGGTCGGTCGCTGGGGCCGCCGTGGGAGGATGGTGGCCGCCCCTGAAAAGTTGGCCAGGCTGTCTAAAGGTCAAACGTCCAAAGGTTACCGTGTGACATTTGACGTTACGATCGCATGGAAATCAAAGCGGGGAATGAGGGCACATGATAGTTGCCACTTGCCAGGGCAGCTTTTCCAGCTGCTGTGGATGCCTCCGTTTGTCACCTTGTCACTTAAAAGATCTCTTGGACCATTTTGTTAGTGAATGTTAAAAACAGGCGTTTGATCTCAGCTGGAAGTGTTGTGCTCGCTCCATATCATGGTCGTTTGTTTTACTTTGTAAGTAGAGGCTGGTGCCAGGAAATAAAGTTAGATTAATTGAAACGAACCAGCTCTATAATGGCTTTTTACTTAGTTTAGCATTGTCTATCAATCTCGTCACCAGTGATCGATAAGTCGGACTGTAGGGCTTGCAATGCACTATTGATAAGAAGTGATGCCTATTGCCTTAGTTACATTGACGCCTTTTATGTGTTGTAGTGTCGACTATTTTGATATCCTTTGAAGGTTTAAAACCCTACAATATTACCTAGGAGTCCTGTGGTCGAAACACGTATATTGTTAAAGGTTGCAATATCCAACCACAAAGCTCTTAGGATCAATTCTTGTCAAAGCATGCATCACTACAATCCCATTTCAAGCTTCAGAATGTGTTCGAGCACTGGCGAGCGAGGTATTCCAGTTCTGACCTCGGTTTGTCCTGCCGACAGATGACCATGCGGGTGGAGAGCGGCGCAGCGACCACCACTGGCTGACTGGTCAGTCTGCCACCCGAGGGCCACCTCAGCGGCGCCGCCGGCCTGACCTTTCGACTCAGGTGAGTTCCATCACCCTCCCGCCCCTCCGCCCCGCCCTGTCCTGCCGCCGCCGCCGCCCACAACCGCCCACCGTGCTGAGTCCAGAGGAGCTGGCCCGATCCGAGGCGTGCGTGGGACGGGGCTTTGAAGTTCGCAAACGGTGGGAGAGGGAGGCGATGACAGGGAGGGAGGGAGGGTGCGAAGTCGGGGGGTCGTTCAAGGAATTTATCGCAGCGAGGGAACGGAGGGGAATGGGAGATGCAGCGGAAAGCGGCGGGGATGATGCAAATGTTTGGAGTTTCTGATGACTCATCTGTTTTGCGTTTAGGCGTTATACGGCAGGCCCTCGCGACAGATTTTAGCTCTTTACCTGAAATGCTCTTAATCTAGGTTTCTGGAAATCCTAATCACCGATTCACTTCATTTCCGCTACCTCATCTCATCAGGTATTCCAGCGAAAATGAGAGCAATCTAGACCAAGTTATGAATGATAAATGATGAAATGAAGAATGTATGAGCCCATGCTTTACGGGTACTTGGAGCCATGTTTTAAGGGAAGTTATTGCTTAATCCATCAACAACAGTCAAAAATAGTCAGACTTTTGATATTACGCTGCAAGTGCTGGACTTGCTTTACGAACTCCATGGTAAACGACTCTAGGCTTTACGACTTGTGATTATAGTACCCTGCTAACTCAGATGATATGGGCTTTTACGATTGGCCGAAATCGATGAGTACCTATGTGCCGCACGAACGGGTATAGGGTTCGTATTTTCAGATGGTCACTGGCTGCCACCTATATACAGATGGACCACGTCATCTTCGCCAAGTCTTTCTTGGTGTTTTATGTTGGTGTAGAGGAACATCTTCCCCCATATCTTTCTTAGTGTTTTCCTGTAGGCGTAGAGAGCAGAAGACCTGTTTTAGGTTTCACTGCGAGTCGTGACGCGACAGTGTGTTCACAGCCGTGCGAGTTTTGTTGAGGCCGTCCTGGGCTGAGCTAGGATCGCGTTGGGCTGGGCTAGAACAGTGCGGGTTAGGGCTCAAATCGTGCTGGACTGGACTAGGCTCGGGCGGGTTTGGGCTCAAATCGTGCTGGGCTTGACTAGAACCGTGCGGGCTAGAGCTCAAATCGTGCTGGGCTCGGAAAATAATCGTGTGGAGCTGGGCTAGAACCGTGCTCTCTCGATGGCGCTCGTCCCTCGCCGCCTTCCGTTGCATCTCGATTCTCTCGCCGCCTTCCGTTGCATCTCGATGCTCTCGTTTCCCGTGACCTCTCGTCTCTCGCCGCCTTCCGCGACCTCTCGCCGCTCCGGGCCGGCTGTTCCGGTCCGACGGCCGCTGTCGGCTGCGACGGAGCGTCGAGGGTGGTCGTTAACGACGGGGGCAGGCCGGCGAGCGTTCTGCTGCCGGGCCCTGATCAGTCCCTCTGAGTGGTCTGAGGGAGAGATGGAAAGATCAGGAGAGAGATAAAAAGGTAGAGGCGGATGCAGTGGCTGTCGACGAACGCGTTAGACATGAAGTGCCTTGTATGGAAGGTTTCGTACCTAATTGTTCAGAATTACGCCACCTTAGGGGGATTTCCCATTGTGTAACTAAGTCAAGGTAATACGACTGGCGTGTAAGAGAGTGAGATGACTGCCCCATAATCGTATTACAACCTTTCTCGTAAATAGCGGGCACAAACATGTAATGTGAGCCATATCCAACTGGTACGCACAATGCACATAGTGTGTCAGGCTTGCCTCCCAGCTTGTCACGTAAAACAAGTTTGAGATAATTGTGGATGAAAGTCGTCAGGCGTAGGCAAGGATCTAACAGCGTTGGCATTTCACACCGTTGAGGCGACGTGCGTTGGTCTCATCAAAGAGGAGGTTCCCTGCATTGAGTATAGTTTTAAAGGGTAATATAATCAGAGTGTGGTACTCACAGGACAGCTGAAGTTAAGATGGGGTCGGACGCCAGCATGCGTACATATACTTTGCAAAGTAAAGACGTGTGATGCGCTAGACAAGAGGTCATTGCGTGTCAGTTGAAATCAGACCTGAATTGAGTCATCCAGATTTCGGACTGGCTAGTTGCGAAACCCAACTCCACCGGAAGTGACGTCACGTCGTTAACGTTAGTTGTGCTGATAGCCAGAGAGTGTCACATAAATCGGGCTGATAGTGCCGCTATCTTTCAATCGATTTGTTTATCTCAAGGAAGTTATACAGGCTTTGCTTTGAGGGAGTTGTTTCAGCGAGACGTGTCCGTTAGTGAAGTTGGTTGCTTACACCCACGATGCATCGTGGCGCTATAGTGGGTGGCCGGAATCGCTGTCAAATGAATGAATGAATGCGGCTTTGTAGTGGGCGGCGGCGGCAGGGCAGGCTCCCCATTCACCTATGTCATTGGGAAAATGGGACCTAGCATCCGCCTGGGAACGGAGGCAGACGATCCTCTCCCTAGAACAACGCCGAGTTCCATGTCAACCAGCTTTCCGAGAGATTTCCTCACAATCAGCACTTGCATTTCATTTCATTCCATACATTTCATTTCATTGTCTGGTTTCAAAACCTCAATGCAACTGACACCCACATACAAGTAGGTACGCCCTCTGCCAGTGTCACGCCCACACGTTGACAGCGCCCTTGGTCACACTGGTTGCGCAATTGCATTGGTGTTGCCGTGCGTTGCAGAATGCTCTGATTGTTTTTGCCCGTATAACATTGTACCGTTGGTTGGTGTTCTGTGTATGCATTGCAACCTTTAGGGGCGACATTCGCTGCCATAAACCGGTGTTGAAACAGAAAGACAGAACTTATTAGGCTCAGTCAGCCGTAGTGCTTCAAAAGCTTGGTGTCTGCAAGTGACCAGCAGTATGATGAATAGAACTCTTAATGACCGAGCGTAGGCTCAGGCTGGACAGTGGCGGATAAGTCTGGACTCGCAGTGGACATTTGCAGTGATTTTCACCAGTGATCTCGCCACAAAGCGCCGCGTACAGTGAAGTGCTAATGCGAGTCTGATGGTCACTCAGTCACTAGCTGTGTACACCACAGCCAGTGACAGTGACAGCGAGCCAGTGACAACAGTCGCCAGTGACTCGTAGTGACTCTCAGTGACCCGCCAGTGACTCGCGCCACCGGAGTCTCGGACTCTGTGAGGTCCAACCTGATGCCATCCCCGCTACTGTTCCGCTACGAACGAACTGTGGCGGTATCTGAGGCTGTCAGCGTGCCGACGCACTGCTCCATCGGTGGACTTAGTGGCGAGGCGGGCCACGGGCAGACTGTGTGATGTGACATTCGACTGCGTGTCACGGTGGCACAGCGGGTGAAAATTACCTCCGACGTGGTAACCGGACGAACGTCTATGCCAAAGAGCCTGCCGTAGCTTCCTGGACTGAAACCTGTGGCGTACTCGACTGACAGCGGACCAGCAGAAGCTGCCTTCGGGTCAACCCGCTGGTCGCCGCGTCTTCAGGCCGGATCACAACAGGTGAGTTCCTGCTAGCATTCCTCATTGTTCATAGGGACTGGGAGTGGGGAGTGTATGTGCTTACGCTCCAGTGGTGGTAATTGTTGACTCACCTGTGTCGGATAGCGATAGGGGACAGCTTTGTGTTGACTATCTGCATCTCCATGAGTTTCTTCATCAGTTGATGCTGTTTTTTTTTTCGAATGTCGACGTCGACGGAAACTCGTTTTCCTCTGACCTTTGTGGCTAGTATTTCACGCGTGTCGGCTATGATGAAAGCATTCCACTTTAGCAAACTGTGAGCAAAAAGCTGCCGTTTACAGCTATCTTCAGTACTCTCCTACTTACTAGTATATCTGGCGCTGATGTTTGTATTGCGCAATTATTAATATGGATGACGTCTTTTCGGTTGTGGAGTAATCACTTCATCTCCGTCAGCCTGTGAATTCTTTACCGCCTCCGCTATGCCTTTTCCTCCCACCTTCTTTCCCGCCCGTCAGTGCTGCCATTCTGACGCGGCAGGGACAGAAAGTGCGCCTTTATGTCGGCAACAAAGCCGCCGGTGCTATTCGTCATCCGAGGAGCAGCGCGCGCCGTCTGGAAGGGAGACGAGCCCGCTCCCTTCTCCCAGCACCGTGCACCGTCCGCTCGGGAGAAGAGCCCGCTCTCTTCCTCTGATGCGTGGGCAGTTCATGGGGGAAGCTGGTTCCTGGGGTTTCCATATGCGCTGACAGTCCTTTGGGTAGGCTGGTTCCCGAGGTTCTTCTCAGCGAGAACAGCCGCTTAGGAAGCTTGGCTGCTGAAGTTCCTCTGCTGCATGGGCAGCCCCTGGGGGAGACTGGTTGCCGAAGTTCCTCTGCTGTCCAGCCAGCCTCTCGGGAAGGGTTGGCGGCCCTGCTGCGCGGCAGGGCACGGACTCCCTGTCGGCTCGTTCCGTTGCGCTCATCGTTTGCCGGTTAGCGGTTGCCGGCCATCGTTTGCCGGTTAGCGGTCGCTTCTGTTCACGGCCGATTGTCACTGAGGGTCATAGCGTAGCACGTTAACCGAGGCCATATTATCATAGTCGCGGATATATTACGGTCGCCGGTGGTGATAAGGCCCGCGCCGCGGTGATTTCTGATGAGGGAGGTTACTGGCGTGAGAGTAGTGGTGCCCTCGGGAGAGATAATGCGTCAGGCGATGCATCTCGCTTCCCATGAGCGCGAGGGAAGAAAATATGAGCGGGGCTCGTGCAAGGCTTCAGGACGAGTAGCTCTTGGTGACATGGTTTATTAGGACTTTGTCCTTCTTGAAACATTATGAAATGACAATTGGGACCCTCTTTTGCAATACTACCGGATGTCGTAAGTCGTAGGGCATGCAATGGGTATACAAAGTGTTCTTTCCAGTAAGGTAATGCCTGCTTCCAAGCTACCTCCGTGAGCTACATCAATCACCGAGTCGGTTATTTGGATACTACTTAAGTGATGATTGCACATCCGTCATCTGCTCCCTCATTTTTGACACATTCCTCTTCCTCCTGTCAGCGACGAGCAGGCCAAGACCATCTCTGATGCC